ATTTGAATCCAAGTGGAAGGTAATTTTTAAACAAAATTATAAACACGTTCGAACATTAAAATATTTTCCTTAAAAATATTAAATTGAATATAAAATTTAATATTGGTGAAAGGTTCAATAATTTTAACGATAAATACAAAAATTAAACAACTACTATAATAATTTTGACTAAACCGAGCAATTTTTTTATAGAAAAAAAAACTACAAATCAAATTTAACAAAAATAATCAAAAGTGTGATGGTCTAACGAGAATACAAAATGGTTAATTTTTTTGTGTCACGGATTTTGGTAAGGAAAATTATGTTTTAAATCGAAACATCTAAAAAAACTGTCAAAATATGAGCTAAACGTAGGGAACTCCCACTCTTTATTAAAAAAAAATTAATAAAAAAAGATCTTTACTAAAACAACCTTACAAAGTTGATTTTTTGACCAAAATGATGCTATTTTTTAAAAATTACTCAAACAACCTTGAAAAACTATTAATACCCGTTTTAACCTTATTTCATTTGGAAAAAAAAACGTATTTACGAAAATATCATTAATGAGCCAGCGAATAAGTTTATCGTTCATGTGATGATAGATTTATTTGCGATTGGTAGATTTATTAAGTGGTTGGTAGATTTATTGATGGTTCGCGTAATGGTAGAATTATTTATAGTAGTGGTAGATTTATAATATGTGGTAGACTTATTTCTAGTAGTGGTAGAGTTAATTTTGTGATCGTTAGACTTACTGATTGTTCGCGCAATCGTAGACTTATTTATAGTAGTGGTAGATTTATAATATGTGGTAGACTTATTTCTCGTAGTGGTAGAGTTAATTTTGTGATCGGTAGACTTATTTCTAGTGGTGGTAGAGTTAATTTTGTGATCGGTAGATTTATTGATAGTTTGCGCAGTTGTAGATTTATTTATAGTAGTGGTAGATTTATTTTTGAGTGATAGACTTATTAGTAGTAGTGGTAGGGTTAATTTTGTGATCGGTAGACTTATTGATGGTTCGCGCAATGGTAGACTTATTTATAGTGGTGGTAGATTTATAAAATGTGGTAGACTTATTTGTAGTAGTGGTAGAGTTAATTTTGTGATCGGTAGCCTTATTGATGGTTCGCGCAATGGTAGACTTATTTATATTGGTGGTAGATTTATAAAATGTGGTAGACTTATTTGTAGTAGTGGTAGAGTTAATTTTGTGATCAGTAGACTTATTTCTAGTGGTGGTAGAGTTAATTTTGTGATCGGTAGACTTATTGATGGTTCGCGTCATCGTAGACTTATTTACAGTAGTGGTAGATTTATTTCTGAGGGATAGACTTATTAGTAGTTGTCGTAGAGTTATTTTGTGATCGGTAGACTTATTGATGGTTCGCGCAATCGTAGACTTATTTATACTAGTGGTAGAGTTATAATATGTGGTAGACTTATTTATTGTAATGGTAGATTTATTCAATCTTTTCACTTCTTTACTAAAACAACCTTAGACTTGTTTATAGTAGTGGTAAATTTATTTATAGTAGTGGNAGATTTATAATATGTGGTAGACTTATTTATAGTCGTGGTAGTGATAGATTTATAATATATGGTAGACTTATTTATAGTAGTGGTAGACTTATTTATAGTAGTGGTAGATTTATTAAATAAATGGTAAAATCGTAATTTACCTTTCATCTTTCCCACAAAACACCAAGTTTTTCCCAAACCCTAACAATGGCGACCATCCATTTTTTAGCTCATTTTTACTGTATTTTTTAACTCGTTTTCAATTAAATTTTGCCTAAAACTAGTAAATCTAACACCATATATATTTTTTCATACAAAAAAATCAAAA